CCAATTTCAGCAATTTCTATATATATTATATTATTATCGTAATTACTTTTAAAAACTTATATTAGGTACCTAAGTATATGACGTATCTTAACAGATTCATAGTATATGTATCTTATAGCTCACATTACGAGAAAATTGATTTTGTGTTATTGACATTTTCAGTATCATGCGCTCGTAAATTTTACACACAGATATCTATAGTCTATACTATACTAACATACTAATATTCTAATATGTATATACTTCTGTCTTCTACATAAAAATTTGTGATTTTACATTACGATTACGATAGTTTATCAAGATGCAGGCCAAAGAATTAACCAATGTGTCAAACTCATGGATTTACTTCTATGTTTTTTAAATACTTATATAATATTAATTTACGCAGTTACATAAAAGCATAAAATATTTTTATAATTTTTTTTTTTTTTATTTCTTACAAAATTTGCCAGCCTAGGCGTAAATACGGCCCTGTATACAATGTGTGAACAGGAAGGTACCCAATATAATTCAGTTAAAAGTTTATTCATCGATTTCTGTTTTGTCTTGAAAGAATTAAAATATTTAAATTATTTATAACTATCATTTACTTTTTAGTATTTAATAAAATTACAAAAAATTAATTAAAAACTCCATTTCTATACTCTTTAACTTCCCATGCTAGAAATGTATGCATTTTTATAATAGTAAAATGTTTAAACGAAAGTTACTTCCTGAATGAACATTTATAAGAGACTAATATGTTACATGAGCTACTAAAATCTACTAGGTTTGCCTATGATTAAAATCATTATTTTTTCAAAATCATTACTTACTGTCAGGTAAGATACAGTTTGTTCAAGTGGCATAATTTCTTTATCTTGACCTGGTGAGTAAAATGAAAACCATTCACTTTCTTTTGGAATAACCATTGWATCATTTGTAAACATAACCATGATAAAGTTTTTTAATTTAAGTAAATTTTCACGATAACTTGTATTAATAACACGTTCATTGTTGATGTCTGCTAAAAAATGGCTACCTTTAATATAATCTGATTCTTTAATAGGATCATGCCAATATTCTGCTTGAACTAATAAATTTTGTACCCATCTAAAAAATAAAACAAAATATAATGATTTGATAATGCAATTTAAATATTTGACAGTACACATAAAGCAGCAATTATCAATACCAATGTTAGTAGTAACTTATCATATAAGATACAGTTTAAAGTAATACCTAGCATATATATAATTAAGAAAATTTTAGGTGCTATTTCTTCTTTTGAAATATAAAATAAAGAAATTTTAAGGTACACTAGAGGACAACCTGTATATAAAGGAGTCATATAAAACCATCAAAWGTGTATGTTTTAAACAGGCTTTAGTATTATTTTAGCCAAACTCACATATTGTGTATCAACTTAAGGAAAAAATTTTACTTTTGTGAAAGAAAAGCAGATAGTAAATATTTATAGATATTAAATATAGGCACATACATAAATATGTGATACATAAATCATTATAAATATCACAATTAACGTCATCATTATATTATGCGATATAGGCATATATAATTGGTTAAAATATATGCATCGACATTGAGCCCGCATTGTAATAACTATCAACAATATTGCATAGTRCTGTACATATATATGCAGTCGAATTTGAGTTTGAACTAAGATTATTGTATGCTATAAAGGTATCTAGGAGAAATATTACTGTCTATGTTCATACGTGCCAAGGATTACATATGGTGCTTCAATCTGGATGACAGATTGGTGGAAAACAGAAAGACAACGAAAAGCAAGATCACAACGAATCCCATTATTGGCGGTATTGTAGGCGGAGCCTACAGGACTGCCCCTTACGAAGGACTACAGGTTATAGCAGGACTATTACGGCTAGACCTTCAAATATTATGGGAGACAAGATGGACACATAAGCTGATACCAGTTATCAAGACCAGATTGGTAATTCCCTTAGAACTGGACCATTATGTTGTACAATACCTAACAGGGCACGGTGACTTCGAGGCCAAACTGCACTCTCTGGGATTGAAAGACTCTCCGATATGTAGTTGWGGTAAAAGAGTACAGGCAACACCTAATAAGAGCRATAACAGAAGAAGGAATACTTAGCCTTGTGAGCCAGATAACTTCATCAAAACAAGAGTAATATACAATGCGTTCAGAAAATTTGCGATAATACACTGACCAATAAAAATCAGGAAGAAGCAGAAGTCTWAACAAAAGAATTAAGTCAAGGAGAACGTCAAATCCCTGTCGTTGGGGATCAGAATTGGAACAACAGTCTTATCCAACTTGATAGTACGAGGCGACTAAAAGRACAACTTGGGTGTGATGACGGGTACAAAGGAGCCTATCCTCCTGTATCAGGAGCACTCACGTTTCACCCGTTTGACAGGGACCGAGTGGAACATCAAGGCCAACCACTAGCCGGCCTGGGAATCCAAAATAGTGGGAGTGACGCATGCATCACGGGTTGACCCACCAACGTCAACTTTAAACCTTGTCGGTACCATGGGAGAGGAGAGATAAATAAMAATTCTTAATGTGGAGTTTTATAGAATTAATTTTGTTTACTTTGCATATGCTTCTTTGTTCAAAACTAATCTTATATATTCACACCATTTGTGACTAGAATAAAGACAYCTTGGCATACCAAAAACTCCTTGATGTTGGCCACCTATTGATATAAGATTTAACATTGGAGGATAAGGACATCTTTGTGCAACCGCTCTCCTGAAATAAAATGATACGTATATAATGATGCTCTTTACTTTTAAATATTATATGTTTTTATTTTACAAAAATTGGGCTCCTTGTGAAAATCCAATTGCATTATAACCATTAGACAACTTTGGATCCATAGATATTTGATTGCAAGCATATTTAACTTGAAGATTAACATTCATGAAAAAACTGTTCTTCACGTCCTATATTATTTTAAAATGTAAA